AAAAAAAAACCCAAGAGCTGGTTTGTGCTGACTCCTCCCTGGCCAGGCAGGGAGTTGAAGGGTTTGCTCAGCCCCAGGCAAGACCCCCCAGTAGCCAACCCCCTTTTTTTGGCTATTTTCCCCTTCTAGAAGTGCTGAAGAGCAGGAGGGTTTGCTCCTGGGCTTGCAGCAGGGCTGGTGCCTGCGTTGCAGGTGGCACTGGTGCCACCAGGCTGGGGTCACGCTGGCTGGGAAACTGTGCGTAAGCCAGTCCCGTGCACATGGCAATGCTGACGCAGTGTGGGGAAGGCTTCAAATTTAAAGCAGAATGTGTTTTCACACATTTCCGCATAGCAAGGCTCTTATTCTAGCACGAATGCTTCCTCGGAGCCAAAACTTCCTTCTTGCCTCCTTCCAGGTGCAGAGCGGCGGTGGGAGACCTGCACCGGGAGCCGGGCTGTGCAGCAAGTGGGTCTGCAGCCGTCCTGGCGTGGGTGGCACCCAGCCCCAGTGCCGTGACCAAGGCTGGCAGGTATGTCCCTGTGCGCCCCAGCCACCTGCCCCACATCTGAGCGGGTCGCACCTCGCTCCCCCTGTGCTCTGCCCACCCCACAGGGCCACGGGTCCCTGTAGGGATCCTCCTGGGGACAAACCACCACTGCTGAGCCCGCAAAGCCAGCAAGAGGATTTAATTCTTCCAACAGCAGGCTTTGCTGCCTGCAGGCATAGGGCTGGAGGGATGGGGGAACTGCCGTCATCCCCACGGCATCATCTCTGGGACAATGAGGTGTGGGTGATGTGACTTGCCCTGGGACATCTGTGCCCGTTGGACAGCCGAGCTCTGCTCGCAGCTTCACCACCAGCAGCTTTAATTTATTCAGGTTTCTCCTGTCGCCCCACACAGAGATCGGTGGCCGGGGACGTGCCTTTGATATTTAGGAGGCGCCCAGCTGCAGCGGTGGGTGGACACCCAGGTACCCACCCAGCACAGAATTCGGTCTCTCAGCACCTTTCCCCTGCCAGATCCCCAGGGGCTGTGTCACCTTAGTCTGACGTTGGCCCTGGTTTAAAAAAAAAAAACCTCATCCCAGCCCCATGGGGTGACCCAAGCTGCTGTTTTGGGGACAATGGGGACAGACCTGCAGCCTGGGAGAGGCAGCGCCGCCTCGGTGGGTTCTGCAGGGAGCGTGGAGCATCCCTGCTCCCGGAAAAGGGTCTGGGGGAGCCCTGCTGCCTGCTCCCACCCTGTGCTGACTGGGGTCCCCAAACCAGACTTACCAACGCGTCTCCTTCCCAGCCTCAGTCTCCCTTCTCCGTGGCGCGGACTGTGGGTCCAGCCACCGCATGTGGCAGGGACATGCTGTTGAGAGGGATGGGACCCTGCTGGGTGCGCGGAGCCGAGGGTGCAGCAGGGCTGGTGGCTGCACAGCACAGCCGAAACAGGACAAACTGCTTTGCCAGCCCAGGAACCGGGCGGCCCCACCAGCTCCGTCTGCCCCACCTCGCTGCTGACCCAAGCAGTGCTCACGCAGGCGAAAAAGCCTACAGCAGGGAACTCCCTGCTGGACCAGGAAACAAACCCTGCCTGCTCCTGCCTGCAAGAACGCGGTGGGCATCGCTCCCCGGCTCTGTGCCCCAGCAAATCCACTTCACAGAATCACAGAATGGTTTGGGTTGGAAGGGACCTTAAAGCCCATCCAGTCCCCCCCCCTGCCAAGGGCAGGGACACCTCCCACTAGCCCAGGTTGCCCAAAGCCTCATCCAGCCTGGCCCTGAACCCCTCCAGGGATGGGGCATCCACAGCTTCTCTGGGCAACCTGGGCCACTGCCTCATCACCCGCACAGGAAAACATTTCTTCCTTATATCTAGTCTAAATCTGCTTCAAGTTATCCCTGCAGCGATGCTGGGCTGGACCGCATGGCTGCAGGCACTCAGCGCAAGGGGACAGACACTTGCAAAGGGATGTGTGTGTGTTGTGTGGCTGCATCCATCCCTGGTGAGCTCTGCACTTGGAGAGCCCAGTTGGTTGGGGCACATGGTGGCTTAATGCATGGTGCAAGGGCCTGGGAAATTTGTGCAGCAGTTGGGAAAAACAGGGATGCTCTGCTCCAACTGGGAGGACGAACAGGGATGCTCTGCAGCAGGGAGGGCAGACGGGACGAGGGGACGCTACTGGAGTGGCTCTATCCCCCAGCACCAATGGGAGCAGCACCAGGCACACAGGGAGGAGCGATTTCACCTGTTGCATTAGATTTCTGCTTGCACACTTCTTCCCTTGCTGTCAGTTCAGCAAAGTCAGCCCAAAAGCCACCTTGTCACCACGGAAATTTGGGGCAGTGCCAGAAGCAGGGAGCGATACCACTGGTGCCTGGTGGCTGACATGGTCATGGGGGAGAGACCCCGGAAACCAGAACCGTCCCAGCTCTGCCCAGCCACCCTGACTCCCCAGTCCTGACCAATTTTCACATGGCCACCAAGGCATGGCCACACCGGGTGCCTGGCTGTGTGCTAGGGCTGTCCCCCAGCCACCTGAAATGTCCCACTCACAGGTGCCCTGCACTCCTGCTGCTCACAGAAGCACGATCCCCAGGAGCAGGAGATGCTGCAGGAAGGGTGCTGCAGCAAACCTCTGGGTGGGAAGCATCGATGTCAAAACACTTTTTGCTCTAAACTGGCAGTCCCGGAGGATTCATGGGAGAAATGCACAAGGGGGACAGGAGGAAAAGGAAAATCAAATCAGGAAAGGGGTTTTGCATGTGCATGCTGAAGGCTGAGCATTTCAGTAGCCTTTTCCATGGTCTGTTTGATAGAGATCTCGGTGAAGCCAAGCTGCACAGGACCCCGGTTACAGCCCACGCTTTGGGAGGAGATTTGGTGATGCTGGTGACAACCTGGTGACACACAGAGAGATGCTGCTCTGGGCCATCTCCCAGCAGCAGGACGGGGATGTGCCTCGGCTGGGCAAGGGACAAGCTGCAGGATGGCTCTGTGTCAGTGCTCCCCCAAATCTCACCCTGGAGCAGAAAGGGGTGACAAAATACCCCAGCAGCATGAGCCTCGCAGGGCTGGGTGCTGCACAGCCCAGCTGGAAAAGCAAGATCCCAGCCCCTAAACCACCCTGCTCAGGGCAGCGTGCAAGAGGCAGCTTTCAGAAAAGAAGACAAAAGGGACCCAAAAGCATTACAATAAAATTTAAAAATTGGTGAGCCCCGGCTGCACCCTGCCACGCTCTGCACCAGCTTTTCTACCCAGCCCAGCTCCCTCCATCTGCCTGCACACACTACAAGAAAAAAATCTCAAATGGGTACCCCTATATTTTCGGTCAACGCCACAACCTTTATATATTCAAGGGCTGGGAAATTAGAGGTCTGGAGGCATGCTATAAATACCCCAGCAACAGAAATAGACATCAGTGCAGCACTTGTGGCCGCTGAGCACAAGCTCCGAGGGACCCCGAAAAGCAGGAGCAGGGCTGACCCCCTCGCCCATGGTGTGGCCGTGGCTGGGGCCGGGTGGGCCGTAAGCCGCCGGTGCAGCGCCGGCTGGGAAATGCAATCTGGCCAGGGCATGATGCCAACCCTCTGAGCTGCCTACAAATCCCAGCACACCGGGGAGCGGAGCTGCACCCCAGCCTGGCTCCTGCTGCTTCCTGCCAGCGCGGGGAGGGGGAAATATAAACGGCAGCGTCTGGGGCAAAGCTTGGATGCTGGACAGGCTGTACCGGAGCAGAGGCAGCACGGGCGGTGAGTTTGGGGGTTTCTCTCGAGCAAAATGCGGGCTGTGCGCAGGGGGGTGATGGCTGCGCTGTGCTACGCAGCTGCGGGGTGAGCTGCGGGGAGCAGCGAGCATCCGCCTGGAAGGCTTTGCTGCGTGTCTGGTGGTGTGTGCAGGGGGGGTGGGCACGGGTATATACATACATCTGTGTGTAAGCAATGCTGCCGTTATTGGAAGCAGGTAGATAGAAAGAAGTCGGGCTCAGTTTGCAGCATTCGGAAGGACAGAGCAGAAATTAGAGGTGCTCTTCCTCCAGGAAGGGCTGCTCAGCTCTATTTCCTCCTTGCATTTTATTTTCACTTTTAGAAAAGTGAAAATTGGCTGAAATTAGCTCAGAGGAAAGCTTCTCCCTGATCTCCAGAGGTTGCCACCCTCTGCACGGCTCTGGAGCAGGAGACCCCTTCCCAGCACGGGTTATGGGT